CGCTCCGCCCCGCTCCGCCCCGCCACACCCCGCTCCGCTCCGGTTGATGACGCTTCGCGCGCGATGCGCATGTGTGTGCCGCGCGCCACGTGCGGGAGTCAAGTTTCTTCACCCCGGATTCCTCGTCCGGCCGCCATGGGCCCGCGGAAAGGCAAGCAAGATGGAGTACAGTTCTCGTTATATCGCGTAGTTTATGCGCGGGCCTCGTGTGTCTTGTTTGCGTTTGGCGCGCGGCCGCCTAGCGGCCGGCTACTGAGTTACGAGGTCGCTGCCGGCGCCGCCGCCGTTGTGGATCTACCGCGACGATGCTGACGCTCCGAAACCGGCCCCCGAGCACGCGTTTTGATAGAAGGGGAATTAATTCGAGGAATTACTCTTGTTTTAGTGTGATATAACACAATGATATTTGCATTTATATTTCAAATTGAATGATATATGCGAAATTTATGGGCGGAGTGTAGTTTTTTGAAACTTTATGGTTCAATTGTTGATTTTTGTTATTGAAATATGTCCTAATTTGTCAGTGATTTCATTTAAGAGTTAATGATACCTCTTTTGTTGCTATAATTTGATACTTAAGAAGAGAAGCAATTATTTCACCGAATGCCAATACAAACACATTTCATGTTAATTGTTTAAAATAATGAAAAGAAATAATATTGATGCTTCTCTTTGTTTGCTTCATGACATATTCTTTAAATTTATTTTATTTTTAGCCTCAAGGTGGGATCACAGGAATATCAGGAAAATAATTTGTTAGCTGGGAATTATATATCTGACACAACACAATCAATTAGGTTGGCAAAACAGACATTATAAATTTTAAACATATTTACTGGTTTTCCATTAACGAAATTACATATTAACATTTTATGCATTTACTAATGTAGTGTTTTTGTTATTAATTTCTCCTCTTCGTAGAAAGATGGATGTTGACTATTGTGTATCAGTTTTGTGGTTTTGGAGTATTAATTCAGAGAACTTACAATTTTGATGCAACAAAGGCTTACTTTGCTGGGGCACAATACTAAATCATTTGTTGCAGCATGTTTTGTTTGGAATGAGCGGTTGCCTTAGAGGACAAACACAGTTGAGTGGGTGTTTGTTGTAGCGGCACAAGTGAAGGCGTAACATTGTGTACCTGTTTAAACGACGTGACGGCAGACGACTGGATATAATGTCTGAAAGAAAATGCAGGGCATAAATCCCATTCTATTGTTTCGTCTGCCCTCGTTGAAGAGACATTGTGCGGTCGCAGAGGGCAAAAGCCTTGAGGAGACCCTAAACCTTAGGAGAAACACGCAATTGGTCGCCATTGTGCTGAAGGCTCCATCAAGTTTCTATTGAATTTTCCCCCGCCGGAAGCGGACGTAAAGGAATGGGCTTGATAATGGGGTGCGGCACTTGCTGGCCTCTCATCTTTTACGCATCTATTTTCGAGAAGGAGAGAGACGTAAAACACAATAGGTTTTAACGCCGATGTCAAGACAGTTTTTTCTTTCATTCTTTTGAATGTATATTATCCAGCAAATGAGTAAACGTTTTGTGATGAAGTTCACTTATTATTGAATTGTTTTGTATTTTTGTAATTAAATTTAAACCAGTTTGAATTGAATAAGATGCTAATTCTACGGAGAGTCAGGAAGCATCAATAGTTCAAAAACACGACAATCTGAATATATTTTTAATTTTTTTAACGATTTGTTGTGAATTCGCTAGGCTGCTATTTATCCATCGCATGTCCATTTACATATTTTATGAATTTAATTTATATTTCGATGTATTCATTTTATATACTCTACAGTAATTTTATTTCGAAAAACGTGCAAAACGTGGATTGGAGCAGTGTCCAGATAAAGTGGCTTATTTAGGTCCTTCAGAAGGAACGTAGTGCGTCCTAACAGCTCCAATTGCGTGCAGAGATACATTTTATGTCTCAGATAATGAGAGATAAGATAAGGAACAATGCAGAGTTCCCAGCACTTCTCCAGGGTTTTCTCTTCTTCAGTTGGGGAGTGCGACAGCATTAACATCTACCTCTGAAATGAACTTTCACTAATCGGGTACCGTAAATGTAAATGTAGATTATGATTCTCAATATTATCTGGATTTGTCAATATCATCAAATACAGTAATTGAACTGAGAATGTAGATGTAACTAATGAAAAAAGTGCCTATTTCGTATTACACGAGTATTCAAAATATTACGAATGTTTCATCCTGCAGAGATGTCAAGTAGAGAAAATGTTTTGATTCAAAACGCGCTTCTGTCAGGTTATACTTAATTCGTGAATAACTCATGTCTTGGAAAAATCAGAGCGAGGGTTCACATGAGAACTTCAAACAGTGATTTTTGGATTGTGACTTCAATTTCGTAACGTTAAATTTCAACGAAAACCATTTCTTACACGCAAATAAATATACGTAATTGCGCCTTTGAATGACTGTTCTTGTTCACTCACTTGTAGCTGAAGCAATCAATTAATTATGTGTCCTTGCTAGATGCTTTCTTGGAAGTTTCATCAATATATTTTTAAATTCTTCCATTTTGAACATACAAGAACTTGCACTGGATATTAACTATTAATGTGCCAAAGTAACAACTACAAATTTTGAACAGCCTTCAAAACTGATTGATATAAAATAAAAGAGCAGTTCAGTACAAAATATTTTTTCGGCAATAATGCAATGCAGGAATGACGTCCATTATGATATATCTTGACATGGGTTAATAGAGTAGTAATCTTGACATATTACTAATTCCCAACTGTTGGAATGTGCATTAAAATAGACTGAGAATAGATATCAGTAGCAGTGTTCCACTACAAAGTTCTGACGTCAAAATTGAGGGAAAAAAACAACAACAACCAACACTGAAGTGGTAGTATAAATTGTCTCTCACTTGCAGATATTTGTCATGAACATTCTTTTTTTTTCATTCGCCGACTATTGACATGGTATGAAAAATTACGTGTTGTTTATCTTCACCAACTTTGTGATGTGACAAGTGTGCGAAGTAAGCAGTGCGTTCTTTTTGAAAGTCATGCGTGTGTATCATTAATAATCTTGCCACTTGCTTATCTGCTGTTGACTAATTAAAACTGATCACGTTAACATTATCTGTTTACGACAGAAATCAATTTTAGGTATGATGACCTTACAGGGTTTAGATAATTATTTTAGACGAATTAAAATATTAGAATAATGCAATTATTACAAACTATTTTGAAATATATTTAAAGCGATTTTCTTAAGAATAAAATTAAATGAAAATGTGAAATATATTCTCAAACATTCATTTAAGATAAATAGCAACTCTCCACCAAGTAATTCGGAGCTCTATACAATCCAATGGAATTATTGGATACTAACGTCAATATTATTTTGATAAATTTGCCAATATTGATTTTGAGTTTACTTCTAATTGGGAATTTGTAGTTTAAGTAGAAATCAAATGTTTTGAATAAATATTTTCTAATTGATAAATTTATATCAATTGCGCTCCATATATATATATATATATATATATATATATATATATATGGAGCATGAAATTGTGTCCATAAAAATGTTCCATCAATCAATTATTTTGAATACGGTGGGTACTGAAATCTTTCTAAGTTTCATCAGTGGGTGCTGATATTAATTTCTTATAGTTACATTATTACGAAGATACAGTTAAACATCGTTTTCAGTGTCATGTTTATCTTTGCTCTAGTTAACCAACATTCAATATATTTATTTTCAGGTATCAGGGCCAGATCTCTTCCCGCTTCTGCGTCCTCGGGATGTAGGCAAGGAGCGGGCATCCACCTCGGTGTGGTCTCTGCGGCGACCTTCATTGGCGCGTCCAGAGCAGTCCGGTTCGGCGGGAATCAATAAAACGGGCTCGGGCGTCGTCACCGCCTGTCCGGTCTTCTCGCGAACGTAGTTAAAACTCGAACAAGGCGCCGCGCCGTGCCGCGCCGCACCGCCCGGTGACTTCCCCTTGCGGTCCACGCTGCGCCGCGCCGGGTGCTGCCGCTGCCGTAACGGCCGCCGCGGGCGCTGGCGGGCACGCGGAAGCGCAGCACCGCCCCCTGCGGCGGCTGCGGCGGCGAGACGCGAAGCGACGCAAAGCGACGCAGCCGACGGCCATTTTGGAAGCAGCCATCTTGATCAGGGAAAGTATTGTATCTTGTAACGAGAAACGTATTTATGGCCTGCATTTTGTAATGAAAAAGGAGCTAAAATAATATTTATAGAATTATGTGCATGTATGAATCATCTTCATGTAATTTTATGAAATATATAGGAAGTCGTAAGTTCTTTGCATATACTATCATTTGGTTTTTGATGTATTAGAATTTCTGTACGTGATTCTTGAGAGCCGTTATGTTCAATTCGAATAATGCAGATAATTTGTTTTATATTTTATAAGGAGAATAAATAACGAAACAAATATTTCGAATTATTGTTAGGAGGTCTTTGTATCGTGTTCGTTATGATATATTTGATAGATGTTTGTGATCAAAATTAATCCCTCTGGCCAAAGCAAAATGAAACGGAAAATGTCCCGACAGTACTAGGCATTGTGATGCAACGCATTCTCGGCGACATGTTTGTGCAGCCATCGTGTCAATAACTGACTGCAACTGTCATCACGTAATAAACCAGTTAGATGTGAGGACGTCCGGGACCCGCGGCTACGCGTAAGGGGAAAGCAGCAAGCCATTTTCTATGGATGCTGCGTAATATGTCATGTATGCACTCACACAAGACAGGACTTGTGTGTTACGTAGAACGCAGCCGCTAGATTGACAAATTTTGTGATTGGATATTGGAAGTGTCGTTTGTTTTACGAAAAATGTGAAGTTCATTCGTAATTTGAGAGCTGAGAGAATACTATTTCTACTGAATTAATTTCCATGTGTTAAAAGAACTTATATTGATATCCATTCTATGAGTGTATTGGAAATTTATTTTAGCAAATACTGGGAATAAAGATGCATTTGAGGATTTTCCTTTGAGATCGTGAAAGACGATAAAGATAATTTGAGATAGTGAAACACGTACTGCCGAAAACCCGAAATTACGAAGAAGAGAAAGTTAGTATCTTCTAAGTCGGCAAGGATTTTATACTGTAACGTATTAGCCAGCGTGCCTCATGGCATCTATTTGGGGACGCTTGGGAGCGGATTAGTC